GGTGTGACTGTCCCAGCCTTGTTGCGCCTTCAGCATGTGTTCACATGTTTGATGCTGTCATTGCATCAGACGCACATGCAAATCACAGCAGCAGTTACGACCTCAGGTCAGTGGTTTCCAAACCCGCCGTGTGCGCCTCGGTTGCCAGAGGGGACTTTTCTCAGGGGCTCGCCGCGGACTGACTCCCGGCCCTGGTGACACCGAGCCCTCCTTGCTGTGAGAGCCACCGGCACAGAGCGGCACGGAGGCTGCGTGCTGGGGCCGCACTGACGCGCCTGCTAATTCCACCTCTGTCGCTGAGCTGCTGTGTGACCTTGGACATGATACAACACAGGGTTCACTTTCATTCCCTGCACCTTTTACACTGTTGTCTTCATGGCTTTGCAAAGACTTTGCTTTCAGCTCCTTCGTACTGTACTTCCCTAGAGCCTCGCCTCCACTTGAGGGTCATTGTGAGTTTGTGAGCACCACACAGTCACAGTGGCCCCCTGACCCCCAGCTCTTCCCTTCCCTGCTGGCCTAGCTTTCCCCGTATCAGTTCTTTGGCTTTCACCGTCCTCCCCCTGACCATTCTCGGCCAGGCCCTTTCTGACCTCACTGACCCTGCCAACCCAGATCGCCCCCCCTCCTTTTTTTGAGAGAGAGAAAGAGGGAGCAAGTGAGCAAGGGGCAGAGAGGGAGAATCTCAGGAGGGGTGCGGAGAGAGAGAAGTGGGCCTCCAGCTCACCCGAAGCAGGGCACAGGCTCACCCGATGTGGGACTGGAACTTACGAACCGTTGAGATCATGGGCTGAGCTGAAATCAGATGCTTAATACCTGAGGGACCCAGGTGTCCTGCCCAGAGCCTTGAACAGTATTTTCCTGACCTTGTTTACTTACTTGGGCTTTCTTTGTTGTGGGCCAGTTGGCTTCTCTGCTTCAGAGATGAGGAAAGTGATAACTCCAGGCTAATAGAGGAAAATTCTAGCTATTGATTGAGTACACAAGAAAATTTATACTTGAGGGAAAGAATTGATTCAGCATATGGAATACTGTTAGCGTTTGCGCAAAAAAAAAAAAAAAGTGCTTATTGGGGTGCCTGGATGGCTGTCCTTTGAGCGTCCGACTCTTGATCTTGGCTCCGGTCATGACCTCCCAGTTTGCGAGTTTGAGCCCCGCCCCAGCGCAGAGCCTGCCTAAGAGTTCTCTCTCCCTTTCTCTTTGCTGCTACCCCACTCATGCTCGCTCTTCTCCCTCTCTCTCAAAGAAATTAACGTAAAAAAATTTTTTTAAAGTGCTTATTCTTCCAAGGAAATCATTCCAGATGAGGTTTGGTTTTAATGCAGAAGGAAAGGGGGCCCCTGGGTGGCTCAGGCATTTCCTTATTTAAGTCATATCCTGCTGTTGGGGCCCCTGGGTGGCTCAGTCAGTTAAGTGTCCAACTCTCAGTTTTGGCTCAGGTCATGATCTCCCGGTTTGAGGGTTTGAGCCCTGCATCGGGCTCTGTGCTGACAGTGCAGAGCCTGCTTGGGATTTTCTCCCCCTCCCCTGACCCTACCCCATTTGCTTCTCTCTCAAAATAAACTTTAAGAAGTGAATTAAAAATAATAATAATAATTAAGTCCTATACTGCCGTTAACCACTGCAATAGTGGGTGCAGTATAAATTTGGAAAATCTTTCAGGCAAGTGAGTTAGTGAAAGTCATGAAAATGTTTATACTTTTGATTCAGTGACCCTATTCCTAAACAATATCTGTAAGTTAAATTTAACAAAACCTTTTTTCCTGTGTGAGAATTTGACCTTCAGAAACTTTGTTTCCCGGGAACCTGATAAAGGTCGCTGGGCGCTGCGGCCTATGGCTGCCTGTGTCCCGGTCGCGGCTCTCCCCTGGGCCGGGAGAGGCGGGGAGCGCTGCCGGCCTCAGAGCTCAGGGCTCCTGCGCTGGGTGTGGAGAGATGATCGGCTCCCCTCGGCAGTGAAGGGTCTAAGTCGGGGGTTGAGCCCGCACCGTCTCCCTGTGCCTGAGGTCTGCTGCGTGGACTGAGGCGCGACCGGCCAGCACTGTGTTCCGGACCCTCCGGAGACAGGAGCCCGGTGTGGCCCGTGACAGTCCTGTGAGTCTGAGAAGACTGCTCTGTCCCAAAGATGTGATCCCACAAACTGAAGTTCAAAGATGTGCTTCACAGCATTACTCTCCCCAGGTTTTTTGTATAATAAGGTAAAGGCAGGAATGGCGGTTGAAACACTTCACTCACTCAAAGGAATAACTCCTGTTAAGACTGTAACAGAAGCAGGTACTGGCAGCAAGGATAAAGAATGCCTTAGGGGCACAGAATACGGAGAGTGCTGGGGGTGTGCGCCTGCTCTGGTGGGCACTTAGGGGACTTCAGTGCTGTGCCCTTGGGTGTTTTCTGGGATTGCTGTGACGGAGGAAAACGCCCAGGGCTCTGCTGCCCAGGAGAGTCCCCCTAACAAGGTAGCTGCGGGGGGAGGGGGGGTGTTGGGGGAGGGTTTGCCTGCCGCCTGTGTGAGCAGAGGCGCAGAGGAAACACGCATGAAATCTGCCATGTGGGAATAGCAAGGCAAGCACATTTCTTGTTTGCTTGTTTTTTTAAATAAATTTAAAATAATAATTTATCAAATTGATATTTATAATTATTTTCAAGTCCTCTGTTATTTTTGTTAGTGTTTATTCATTTTGGAGAGAGTGTGAGAGTGCTAGAGAGCTTGAGCTGGGTGGGGGGGGGGGGGGGGGAGGGGGGGGGTACTGAGCATCCAAAGCGGACTCTGCGCTGACAGCGGAGAGCCGGACGCGGGGCTTGAACTCAAGAACCGTGAGACCATGACCCGAGCCTTAAGTCGGACATTTAATTGACTAAGTCACCCAGGTGCCCTTTGTTTATAATTCTTAAAAGCTATTAAGTCCTTCTTGGTGCACCAGTGACACTTACTAAGCCAAGTTACGGAAACCCCTTCTCCCGGTCTCCCAGTCCGTGACTTCCCTAAATCCTTCAAGACTTTCTTCGTAAAGCTTCTCCTCTTTTTCCATCCCTTTCCTTAGTTTGCCCTTCAAATTTGAAACTTGTTCCAACTGTCGAAGTCTGATCTCTACCCCAAAATGTGGACCAGACCTTGTGTTGAGATTCAGGGCCGTCTCTGGGGAGGACGGTGGGGGTGGTGGGGCTCCCCGGATAACAGGACTTGGGGGGCACGGTGGAAGACCGAAGGACACGGCCGTTGCCCAGACCCCCCTCGCCTGTGCTGCCCCCCAGCTGGCGCTGACGGGAGTCTTATTGACGGTACCGGTGGCTTCAGTAGACCGGCGGGGCTGGGGCCTGAGGCGTCGGGCAGTGAGACGCGCGCTCACGTGCCTGGAAAAACTGGCCTCCGGTCTGGCTCCCCCTCCCACACTGTTTGGGGAGCCGTGGAAACGGCCTCCTTCGGGAGCGTAGGGCTCGTGGTCTAATCCTGCCCCGTGGGGCAGCGGTCGTTGTAAAATTTCCTTTCAGTTTGCGGTCTTTGGTGCAATGCCGCCTGTTGAAAGAGAGCAGTTGACAGCCAGGCGTCGGGACGGGAGAGTAGCTTCACTGCCTCGCCCGGCTCTGTGGTTCCTGCTCTGCAGCGCCTTCTGGAGTCTGTTCGCCTCTCCATCTCTGTGTTGGACACACGTTAAAACGGTAGCAGCCAATGTTTGTTAACCACTTACGATACTCTAGTGACTGTCCTGAGCATTTTAGCCACTCGGGCCTCATAGCATCCTCGGGACACGATAGCTATGATCCCTGTCTCCCTGTCCCCACAGAGCGGGTCAATAATTTGCCTGAGGTCACATGGCTAATAAGAAGTAGCAAAGCCAGAGTAAAAATCTAGGTAGGCAGGGACCAGTATTTGCATGCTTGAGTCACACTGTAGCCAGTGCTATCAGCTTCAGCCTTCTAGAAGCTAGCTGGTTAAAAATGAAACTACAAAGTAGCTTTTCTGAGATCCAGTCTTGACTGCCTTGTCCTCCCCAACTGCAGAACCGCAGGCTCCACTGAGCGCACTTCCTTACCTACCTCTTTCATTCATATGCAGACACTTCTTCCCCGGCCCCCCTGAGGCGGGAGGCAGCTGCCCGACCCGACCCGTCCACCGTCAGGGGAGGGCGATGGGCCAGAGCTGGCTGGTGGTCCTCAGATGTGTTGAAGCCGGTGTGGAGGGCACTCACCTTCGGTCTTGAACTCGTGACTCTGGAGGAGAAGGCGGGCCTCCTGCTGGGGATTGCAGCCGCCCGAGGAGTGTCCCTCCAGCAGCCGGAGATACTTCGCCCAGGTTGGGGTCCAGAATTTAGGACTCCTGCTTTTCTGAGGACCGTCACTGAGTCGGGTTCAGGACGCTGAAGGATCATTAAGACGGGAAGCTTGTCTTCATAAGTAACGGGCAGGTTCTGGAATAGAGATGAGCACAGATTAGGCATTTTACATATCAGATGCTCAGTGGTAGGGAAGGCTGCCCGAAAGATGTTCTAGAAAACAGTGACCCCAGGAGCTACAAGGTGGTGTTCTTCTCACACTAACCCAGTATTTGATTCTCTCGTGGGCATTGGAGCTGCAGCAGGGAGTAGAACCGCCTTGGCAGAGATTATTGGAAAAGGGAGCAGACAGACAGGTGTGACAGATTGAAAGGTTAAGTCGTGGCAGGCTCCCTGGAGAAGAGTACGGCAGTGTAAGGGGGTAGAGAGCAGGCGGGGACAGAGTGTCGTCCCCTCTCTGAGGAGGTGCCCTTTGAATGAAACAGGACCGAGCCGTTGGGCCAGAGCCATCCAGGAGGGAGAGCCCACTCTTGGAGACTATTTCGAGGGGCAGGTCGGCCCTGCCTCGCTGGGGTCCAGACTTCTAATGACTGTGATCCTGCTCGTGGTCGGGTCCCCCCGGATGACAGGGAAGTAGCCACGGGAAGGCTCAGGGCGCAGTGCTCCTGGCGCTGCTGAGAGCCCTGGTGCTTGTGTCGCACTCACGGTGTCCCCTCTTTTCTCCTGTAGTCTGAAGGATGACCTCGAGGAAGAAAGTGTTGCTGAAGGTTATCATCCTGGGAGACTCTGGGTAAGTGGTTCCCCGTTTCCCCCCATTGACCTGACACGTTGGTTTGGATGAAAGGAGCCCGTGCCCTCCCTGCTGACGTTTGCCCGTTCCTCCCCTAAAGCTGTTTTGGGCACAGCAGACGCGTGGATGATCTCTTGTTGTAGGCCCTTCTGTACGAAGCGCGATTTGGGGAAGGGGTCGCTACTTAAACTCAAGGACACTTTCATGGAATCCCCCTGTTCCCTCAAGCTGGTGAGACTGAGGAGTTCTGTTGACGAGACTTGTGCCCCGGACGCCCTGCCTCGCAGTGGTGGGTCCCGGTGCGCCGTGCGTGTGCTCACGCTGCTGGCCCGGGTTCTCATCCCAGCTCTGCCGCTCACCAAGTACCCAGCGATTCGTAGCTGTGCGTGTGCTCCCGGAGACTTTTCCGAGGTGGCCTGTGAGGCCCTAGACCAGCTGAGGCGGTGTCTTTTTAATAATAATAATAATAATAATAATAATAATAATAAACATGGGTGTGCCTCCTTATCGCCAAGTCCCCTGGCCTTTAAAGAGGTAGTGATTTTTCTGCTCTTGCTGGCTTTTTCAGTTGCCTGAGGAACTCTTTTTTTTTTTTTTTTTTTTATTTTTATTTATTTCTAGGAGAGAGAGTGTGAGCAGGGGAGGGTCAGAGAGAGAGGGAGTCATAGACTGAAACAGGCTCCAGGCTCTGAGCTGGCAGGCAGCACAGAGCCCGACGCAGGGGCCCGAACCCACGAACCGTGAGATCACGACCTAAGTGAAAGTCGGACGCTTAACTGACTAAGCCGCCCAGGCGCCCCAACCTGAGGAACTCTTAAAAGTTAGCGGTTTCCAGACCAGTGGGTAGGGCCGAGTTGGCACGACCTTAAGTACACGCGTCTGTCTGTCGGTCTGTCTGTCGGTGTCTCCCCGCCTCTCCCTCGCGGACTCTTGGGGACTCTCGTGCGCTGTCAGGATTGAAAGATACTGTTTTAGGCCCAGACTTGTCTGGAAAGAAGCACCGGGCCTTTATTTGACTCCCGATCCCTGGCCTCACCCTGAAAATTCAGGTCCAGGCGGCCTGGGTTGGAGAACACTCACTTCCCGGAGCCGTAACCGCGCCCCCCGGCTCCGCACGTGCAGAGGACTGTGCCCCTTAGTGAGAAAGCCCGGGCCGGTTGGCTTTGAAGAAGGCTTTTGCGTTCTCTTCAGCCTGCCCCGGCTCCTCTCCTCACCAAGGGGTCCATTGTCTCTTTGCGGAGTTGCGGAGTTTCTTTCGTATGGGGGGGGGGGGCTGGAAATCTCTGGAAGAGCTTACCTTGAGGTAGATTCTGATTGGGTGGAGTGTTGGTGCTTTTTCTCCTTCAGATTTTAAACTTTGAAGCGGCAGGTGGCCGGCTGGTGTCTGCTCGACGGCCTCCTGCCATTACTGCCCTGCCCTTGACGAGCCGCCCTCAGTGGGGAGACAGACACCCAGGACAGAGAGCGAGTTCTGGAGCTCATTGCCGTAGCTTCTTTTAGAAGGAGAGTATTTGCTGCCATCTTTCTGGAAGGGAAAAGTACTACTAGGTTCTACCCTCTGGAGTTGCTTGTACCCAAACTACGAGCAGCTTTTCAGCATCTGGACCGCATCACCCCCCCCCCCCCCCCCCCCCCCACCCCGTATCTTCATCCCAGGAGAAGCACCCTCCCATGAGGGAGGCCGGCCGTTCGCTGGCGCCGCCTCTGTGGCGGTCCCGGCTCTCGGTTCTCTCAGGTTCTCTCAGGACGGGCAGGTCTCTTCAGCGGCGCAGGGACCAGGCCCCGTTTTCAGTCCCTCCCTGGTTGACCCGAACTTGGTTTCTCTCCGATTGCAGGGTTGGGAAGACGTCACTCATGAACCAGTACGTGAACAAGAAATTCAGTAACCAGTACAAAGCCACAATAGGAGCCGACTTCCTGACGAAGGAGGTGATGGTGGATGACAGGCTCGTGACGATGCAGGTAGGCGCACGCGGCGCTCCCGCTCGGGCCCCTTCCCGCCCTGCTGTCCCGTCCCCGCGGCTGCAGTCGCTGGTGCGACTGCCGGTGACGCGCGGCGCGCCAGGTGCGGCCCAGATGCTGCAGGACACCTACTAGAAACGTCTCATTGCCTCTCCAGAGGTCGCGTTTCAGCGGACGGCCTGTTTTGTTTGCAGGGGTGGAAACACACAGCCCTCCGTCTCGCGTCTGCAGAATGTCTAACCCACACCTTTCTTAATCCCCTCGCTTAGCTCCGAGCCGTCTTTGGGTCTCTCCCAGGTTCTTACAACAGCTGTTAACGTAGCTTCCCGTTTTTCTGGCTACTCTTAACCTGTCCTGCCTGTTTCTTTGTTTCTTTGTTGTGTTTCTTTGAAGCCGGTCTGGCTTTTTTATGCTTCACCTTAGTGTTTCCAGGGCTTCCCTTGCGACAGTCAGGATAAAATACAGACGCCTTCCTGGGGCCCTTGGAAGCCTTTGCGCTCCGGCCACGCGGCTTTGCTTTTTGTCCCTTGCCAGCCCTTCCAGACCCTGTGCTGCTCTTACAGCCCTGTGCTCGCACGTGCGCCTCCAGCCCGGTGCCCGGTCCCGTGTCTCCCCATCCCCAGGTCGCCAGCCTTTAGGGGCCATCTTTTCAGAGTCCTACCTCCACAGCACCGTTTCTTCCTGGATTAAACACTGCCCTTGGCAGACCAGGCCTCGAGAGACAAATAGAATTCTTATCCCGCTGTCGTCCCGGCCTACTGCAGGTTCGCTGACGTGTTTGGGTGACCCAGCTGTCACGTGGGTTTTACACACACTGATCTCAGCTGTGACGTGCTCCTAGAGAATACAGATTCCGGACACTTCCATGCCTCACTCACTCGGACGGAGTTAATGTGGATTTCCCTCTCCCCCCCACCTCACGCGTGCACATAGAGATGTTTAAAATAGGACTAAGTGTTTTTTTAAGTTCTATTTATTTTTTTAAGTTTTATTTGACAGCACGCGCGTGTGTGCACGTGAGCAGGGGAGGGGCAGAGAGAGGGAGAGGGAGAGCGTCCCAAGCAGGCTCCACGCTGACGGCGCAAAGCCCAGTGTGGGGCTCAGACTCATGAACTGTGAGATCATGGTCTGAGCTAAAATCAAAAGTCGAACATTTAACCACCTGAGCCACCCAGGTGCCCAGACTAAAGTTTTAAAGGCCAAGCCTGAGAGAGCAGGGAATTTTCCAGATTACAGGAAAGAAGACGGAACGGAGAACTAGTGATGAGCCAGGGGCTCCTGCCATGGTGCTTTAAAAGCAAGTTTATAACCAGGCCTAGAGTTTCGTCGCTCACCGCGGGCAAGAGAAGTGACTACAAAGGTGGGGGGGGGAGACACCCCCACTCTCCCACAGGACCTTGGAAAGCTGTGAAAACGGGAACGAATACCTTAGTGAAGTGGCACAGCTCCCGTACGAGGTAAAAGCCTGGGGCTTTCGCCTCTTCGCCTTCCTGTTGCAGACGCTCCATCCCGGTGGCTCACGAGCGGGCTCGGAGCCTGTCCTCCACGGGGCAGAGAGAGGTTACAGGACTCGACGTCGACCTGCAAACCGCTGCCATCCCTGGCGCCCGCAGGGACGAGGCCGCTTTACAGGAAGACGTGCGGCCTCAGAACAGAGGATGAGCTCATAGCCACATGAGGAAATAAGGTGCCACAAAAAATATTCACAATGACTAGAGATTTTTTTAAAAGGGAACAGAAACCGTAAAGAAAAAGGACACTGTGATAAAATGAGGATATGGAAAACATAGAACTTCCTTCAAGAAGTGCAAAGGTGGGGGGTGCCTGGGTGGCTTAGTTGGTTAAGCGTCTGACTTTCGCTTAGGTCATGATCTCACGGTTCATGGGTTCGAGCCCCGCGTCAGGCTCTGTGCTGACTGCCACCTCAGAGCCTGGAGCCTGTTTCAGTCTGTGACTCCCTCTCTCTCTGACCCTCCCCTGCTCACGCTGTCTCTCTCTCTGTCTCCTAGAAATAAATAAACATTTAAAAAAAAAAAAAAGTGGAAAGGTGGTCATTGAAACAAGCCAAATGAACAGTTAAACTGTGGCCTAAAGACACCTGAAGAAGACCGTCGGCTGTAAGAACGGAGCACGTGACCTAGAAAACTCAAAACTGCAGGGGCGCCAGGGTGGCTTAGTCGGTTAAGCGTCTGACTTTCGCTTAGGTCATGATCTCGCGGTGCGTGGGTTCGAGCCCCGCATCGGGCTCTGTGCTGACTGCCAGCTCAGAGCCTGGAGCCTGTTTCAGTCTGTGACACCCTCTCTCTCTGACCCTCCCCTGCTTACGCTATCTCTCTCTCTCCTAGAAATAAATAAAACATTTGAAAAAAAAAAAAAACAAAAAACAACTGTAGAGTGCCAGAAAGCCGGGCGAAGAGGCAGGTGACCTCAAAGGAACAGCAGTTAGATGAGCTCGGAGACACGGCCGCCGACGGGGGGAGCGGGGCGCCTCCAGGGTCACACCTCAGGGTGTCCAGGCTGTGCCAGCCAGGTGGCGGGCGGCGTCCCGTACCCAGGAGAAACGGCTGTAGTGCCAAGCTGTGGGTTTGACAGCGATGCGGGCTGATTCAGAAGGCAGAGCCCAGATCCTTCCTGGGTTCGGGGCCACTGTAATAGAGCCCCGTGTCCCCGACTCCGCGTGGGCCCCATAGCGCTGCACGGCTGGAGTGAGCACCATCTGAGAGCCTTGGGTCACTGGATCTGGAAACAGTGGGAAAGAGAACATGTTCCTCTTTCTTTATTTTTGAGAGCGCGCGGGCAAGGGAGGGGCAGAGAGAGGGAGAGACCCAGTCCGAAGCAGCTCCAGGCTCCGAGCTGTCAGCACCCATCTCGACGCGGGGCTTGAACTCGTGAACCCCATGAGATAATGACCTGAGCCGAAGTCGGACGCTTAACCGACCGAGCCCCCAGGCGCGCCAGGGAACGTGTTCCTGAAAGTTTGGAAGGAAAAGCTGGCCCTCGCGCTATTGCAGGCGGCTTGAAAGACTAGAAGTAAATGAAAACCATCGTCTCTGGACAAAGGCATCATCACTAGGGCTGCGAATCCTCACGGGGTTTTCATGGGCTTTAGCAGCGAGCGGTGAGACGCTCCAAGTGAGAAAACAAGGAGGGGCCCGTGGAGTGCGCTCTGATCATTCAGAGTGGTTTCTACATTTCAGACAAATAAGACCGCCTTGGCTGTCTGGAGAGAAGAAACTAAACAGGTGGTGTAGGTTATTAGAATTTCTAAAAATAAGATAGAGTAACCAAAAGGTAGAAATCTGAGAATGTTTCTAGCAACAGCCAGGGTACGCCAGAAGACCGCTGAAAGGGATGGTGGGAAAGAGCGGTCCAAACAGGACTCCGTAGATGGGTCAGACTTCTTTTAATCTGTCTAAAAAGAAAGACCAGGGGCACCTGGGAGGCTCAGTTAATTCAGCGTCCGACTTCGGCTCAGGTCGTGATGTCACAGTCCATGGGTTCGAGCCCCACATCGGGCTCTGTGCTGACAGCTCAGAGCCTGGAGCCTGTTTCGGATTCTGTGTCTCCCTCTCTCTCTCTGCCCCTTCCCTGTACATGTTCTGTCTCGCTCTCAGAAATAAATAAAATCACTAAAAAAAATTTTTTTAAATAAAAAGAAAGACCAAAGGTAATATTTCCTGAGAAATTTCTAGAACTGATGTGGCACCAATCCTCAGATTCAGGAAGCCCAAATTCCAAGATGGATAAAGAAAAAAGAAGTCTCGATGAATCATAATGAAATTACAAAAAGAAAAGACGGGAGCCCCTGGGTGGCTCTAGATTTTGGCTCAGGTCATCTTACAGTTGTGAGATCGAGCCCCTCATTGGGCTTCACGCTGAGCATGGAGCCTGCTTGTGATTCTCTCCGTCCCTCTCCTGCCCCTTCCCTGCGTGCACTTGTGTTCTCTCTCTCTCTCCCTCTCCCCACTCCTGTCGCCCCCCCCCCCCACAAAAGTCAAACTTGAAAGCATTCAGAGGAAAAAAAAATATCTTGAAAAGGAGCAGGAATCAAGCTGATCGTTGACTCCCTACAGTAACAGTGGACATCACTGGGCAGTGGAATAGATTCTGAAAGAAACCTTCAGCACAGTGTTCTGCCTCTGCTAAAAATACTCTTTAAGAATGAAAGCCTATATCCTTAAGTTCTGTGGTGAAAATTCTAAAAGATGTACTTCAGACAGAAGGAAAGTGATTTCATTTGGGAAGGTTGGAGGTTAAGAAGATAAATTGAGATAAACTTTAATTATATACATGTATTTATTGTTAGAATTATGACGATATTAGTAAGGTAACAACTTCCAAACTATCCTAGAAAACCAGGATTGGATTTTATGTGATTTAATGTGTAGAGGAAGATGAGTGACTGCTGTGGGTTTTGTAAATTCCTTTATATTTTTTAGGAAGAAGCCAGAAATCAATCAGTATTAAACATTAGATGGAATCAAGTATGCATGAAAAATGTAAAGGCAACTTACTCTGAAGCCATAGTAATTTAAACTGTGATATTGTCAGAGACAGATCAGGGGAACAGAGAGGACACAAACAGCTCCCCCTCCCCAACAGACCCTGAGGAGAGAGGTAGCTTCCAGAAGAGTAGCGAAAGGGGGAGCTGCACAGTAAATGGGAGGACGGGCCGGTGGTTTTCCGTTTGGATGAGGAGTAACCAGAGGGTTCAAGACCTGAATGAAACAAGTACAAAATGAAAACTTCAGAAGTAATATTTTTCTTTAACCTTTGGTGTTTAAAATAGTGAAAGTACAAATCATAAAGGATTAAAGATTGATAGTAGACTACATTAAACATTTAAAATTTTTTTTTTAATGTTTTTTTCATTTCTGAGAGAGAGACAGCATGAGCAGGGGAGGGTCAGAGAGAGAGGGAGTCACAGACTGAAACAGGCTCCAGGCTCTGAGCTGGCAGTCAGCACAGAGCCCGACGCGGGGCTCGAACCCACCTACCGTGAGATCATGACCTGAGCAGAAGTCAGATGCTTAAGCTTAACAGCCGGAGCCACCCAGGCACCCCAGATTAAACATTTGAATAACAAGACCCCCAAATGACAAAAACAAACCACAGACTAAAAGAAAATGTGATCGGACAGACAACCCGTTGGATGACCTGCCAGCAGGCGTCAGCAGGCAGTTAGGAGAAGAAACCTGTAATGGCCAGTGGCCTGAGTCGAGGGAGGCGATGGGGGGGCGGGGGCAGGATGGGAGCCGCTCCCCTCCCCCCTCTTTCTTCCCCCTCCCCCCTCCCCTCCCTCCTCCCCTTCTCCGATGCTATCATGATGCTGTTGGGAGCAGTCTTCCAGCACTTGTGTGGCTTAAAGCCATTCCCGGGGCCCTGTGACGGCCGATACTGGGCCTGGTCGAGTAGAGTGGATGCCAACCCTGAAGGGGCAGCAGCCATGTGCTGCCGAGCGGTGGGCACGCGGGGGGAGGCGGCAGCAGGCCCCTGAGACCGAGGCAGTTGATGCATCGGGTTTGAGCACGGGGAACGCTGACCGCGCGCTGCAGACGAGGCCGTTCACGCGTCTGCGCGTGTCATGATAGAGGCCACTGTTGGGAGAGACGTCACAGCTGAAACATCTGCAACAGAGTGTGTTGGGAATGGAACCCGTTCCGCGTGGGGCCGGCACGGACAAGGGCCTCATCTCTCTGCATCACTTAAGTAGAAACCTCAAGTGTGCGCTGTGAAGTGATCCTCCTGGACCAAGAGGAAACGAGAACCTTGTCCAAGCCTGTAAGGTGGCTCTGCCTTCTCTGGGATGAAAATTAGACTGAAAGTAAAATGATAATATTCAGTAAGTATCTTCATATGGAAGCAGCCAGAGTGTCCATCCACGGATGAATGAACAGAGAAGATTACGCACACTTACAACAGAATGTTAGTCGCCATAAAAAAGGACCGCGATCTTGCCGTTTGCAACGCCGTGGATGGGCCAGAGGGTGCTGTGCGAAGGGGCGAAGGTCAGACGGGAGAAGGTCAGGTACCTTACTTCACTCGTGTGTGGAATCTTAAAAAAACAAATGAATAGACAACAACGACAAAAGCGACTCATGAATACAGAGCGAGCGCAAACTGGTGGCCACCAGAGCGGGGGGTGGGGGGGGGGAGGTGGGAAGTGGGGGAAACAGGTGAAGGAACAAACTTCTGGATGTAAAATAAGTAAATCGTGGGGACGGAAAGAAAAGTGTCTCATTTCAGCAGTAACAGATTCTACTTACCATCCATAGGAATGGGAGTGTCACACATCCTTTGGGGGGGGGGGGGGCGTCACACCGTCCGTAGGACCCGCGCAGTGTATACCACAACTTGTTTTTAAGCTTTTCTAGGTTGGATATGAAATAAGTTGTGAAAGTCGCTAAGGATAACCGCCCAGGTTTTTCAACTTTTCTTTTCATCAGCCCCTTACTTTTTGCCTTCTCTGTGTATCTGAGTTTCAGACATGCGGTCGGTTCCACCCAAAAGTAGGAAAATTCTTACTTAACCCCCTGTTGGGACTGTATCCTAAACAAGCACCTGAAACACAGGAGAGGCTGTGCGCAGCCCTCGTCACCGAGTTACCAGCACAGAGAATTGGCAGCGGGTTTTTGTTTTAGAACAAGAACGAAGCTGTTTGCTGAGAGCGTTGGGCATCAGTATAGGCGTGAGTCACCGTCCGGGACAGCGCCGTGCGCGGCGCGTGGCAGAGGTTTCCCCTACAGTGTCCCGTGAGCTGCGGACCGTGGGGGGGTGGGCGGGGAGCGGCGCCAGGTGTTTGAAGGGTTCTTTTGGCTTTGACTTTACTTACCCAGATGTTTACATAATAACAATGTTACTTCTCTGGTAGATTTTTTTTTTTTTTTTTTTTTTGGTCTGAGCCTAGATTTAAGTTCTGGTTTTAAATCTTGGTTTCTTACTTTCTCTTTATGGGAGTCGTTGTCTGTTTCTACTTCCCTTTTTGTACGCCCAGGCTCTCGGGTCCCCCTTCGCCCTAGTTTCCTTCTTAGGAGCAAGGGCTCATTTTTTCACTCAGAGACCCACGTTCAGTGTGGGGTGCTGGGAACGCAGAACAGCCCCAGATCAGACCTCACCGCAGTGCCCCTGCTGGGGACCCACTGGCATTAGCCATCACTTTGTGTCTGCGTGTGTGCACTTGGCTTGTTGTCTTGGGGGTAGGGCACATTGGGTCCCCCAGCCCTGTTGAGAGGCAGTCAGAATAATTGGCTTTGGGAACATTTCTGTTGCCCTTTACTCTTGCGTCTGCGTCATCATCGCTTCTTTGTTGTTCTGCCCGAGTGGCCTTTTCTCTTACCGGCTGTGTGCGCATTCTGTGCCACACACGGACATGCGCGACCGCCTCCTGCCTCTCCTCTGCAGCCCGGCCGGCTCCCCGTGGCTGCGGGGCCCTGTCCCCCAGAGTTCTTCCCTGGAGCGAAGGCCGTGGGCTGGTGTGTATAGCGGATGGGGCCCCGGGAGCGGGTGGGCCGCCGAGGCCGGGCTCCCTGTCCTTACTGCGCTGGGTGAGGAGGGCCGTGTGCACAGGACGAAAGGCTGAGGCGGCCTTCTCAGAGCTGCTGCCCCACCGGGGTGCGCTCGGGCTCTGGGGACTGTTTGCCAACACAAAGCGCACGTGTGCACCTCGGCCCGGCACTGACACTGGGGACCACGGGACCCCCTTCCAGCGTGCTGCAGCCTCGGCTGCCCTTGGCCAGCCTGCGGACCAGAGCTTAGCCTGTGTCGCCCTGTTGCTTTATGGGAGCTCCCTCGGGGCCCAAGGCGGCCGCCCCCAGCCCCTGGCAGCATTTCAGCTCCGGCGCCTGCTCTGTTGGCTGCAGTGCCGTTTGAGCCAGTCCCCGAGAGAACACCAGCTGCCTGGATTTGCGGCTCATGCTTCAGGACTCCTTGCAGAGAATGTTCTGGGAGGTGTTGTGGGGTCTGAAACGTCCGGGCTTTGTTGGCCTTGCTGATGCTAAAGAAAGGCGAATCCCACATCCTGCCCTGTGCTGCGTTATTTTCCTCTGCGCGTGTTTGTTTATTCTCCCCAAGCGTCGTGCCCTCGCCTTGCATGGTGCTCCTCCTGCCTGAGCCGGGGGCTCTGTCCCTGTGTGTCCCGGAGACGCTGGACGTGGTGGCCAGGCGTTCCCGGTGACCTGGGGGGGACCGGACTGACCCCTGAGCAGGGCCTCCCAGAGGAGCTCACCCGTCTGTCGGCAGAACCTGGTTCAGGAGACCCAAGTCTACTGGTCCAGTCCACACTGCATTCTGCTTCGAACCCTGAGCCTTTGGGTAGTTGGCGGGTGATCTGGACATAAAGTTGGTACTTGTTCGGGTTGTGAGGATGGTCCAAATTCTTCATGTTGTTCTGAAGCGAACAGGGGTCCCTGCAGACCCTGAATCCAGAGGCTGGAGGCCACGGCAGCCGGAAGTGACGGGACGCTGCTCCTGGCCCAGGCGCTTTCGTAGCCCCGGGGACTCGCTGGGGGGCGAGGCCTCTCAGAGCACCTGTCGCTCCTCCGGGCTGAGCAGGGCGGCCCGGTCAGGAGCCCAGGGCAGAGGGGAAAGCTGTCTGTGCTCGCGGACCAGCTCGGCGTTGGACAGCGTGAGGTTCCGTGAGCTGCTCCGCAGCACCCGGCCTTCCTGCGAGGAAGTGCTCGCCCTCGCCTGTCCCTCGCCTGTCCCTCACCTGTCCCTCGCCTGTCGTCTGGAGCTTTGCCCCTTGTCCGTCCGTCCCTTTGTCTCTCTGTCGGGGGTTTTTGTTTGTTTGGGTTTTTTGTTGTGGTGGTGGTGGTTGTTTTGAGTTATAATATAACTGATTATTTTAAGGTAAATTTGACAGACCGTAAAGTATGTAATTTTAAATGTACAATTCGGTGAGTAATCCCCTCCCTGTACCTCCATCACCCCAAAAAGCCCCCAGAGTACTTACATCTCAAGTTTCCATCATGAAGTTTACAGAAGTATCTGGTCACGTGACTGCCACCTGGATGGAGGTCAGCGCGTGTTCTAACCGGGCTCGGACTCCGTGTCCCCTCTCAGACACGCTGCCTGTCGGGGCCGCTTTGGATGCTCTGGTGTGAAGTCTGTTCCCTGACTTCCGAAGCTGCGTGCCCCGGAGCCTGTGTCCTCTGCTGCCCCCGCTCTTGCTGCTGTGACACGCGGAGCAATGTCCCCCCCCCCAGCAATAATGTCTCGTCTTGCGCAGATCTGGGACACGGCCGGACAGGAGCGGTTCCAGTCCCTCGGTGTGGCCTTCTACAGAGGTGCAGACTGCTGCGTCCTGGTGTTCGACGTGACCGCCCCCAACACATTCAAAACCCTCGATAGCTGGAGAGACGAGTTTCTCATCCAGGCCAGTCCCCGGGATCCGGAAAACTTCCCCTTCGTGGTGTTGGGAAACAAGATTGACCTCGAAAACAGACAAGTAAGTGCTAACGGTAGTGGGGGTGGGAGATGCGGAGGCTCCAGAATCTGCTCTCCTCTAGGTCGTGGCTGCCGGGCCTTTTAAAAGTAGCAGCTCCGCTTCAGAAACTACTGTTCTTAGTTGTGATGAGTAAAAAGCCATGTGCCTTTAAGGACCGACACCGTGTGTGTCCGTGTGTGTGTGTGTGTGTGTGTCTGTCCTGTGTGTGCATGTGCGTGTGTGTCCGTCCTGTGTCCGTGTGCGTGTGTGTGTCCATCCTGTGTGTGCATGTGCGTGTGTGTCCGTCCTGTGTGTGCGTGTGTGCCCGTGTGCGTGTGTGTGTGTGTCCGTCCTGTGTGCATGTGCATGTGTGTCCGTCCTGTGTGTCCATGTGCGTGTGCGTGTGTGTGTCCGTCCTGTGTGTGCGTGTGTCTGTCCTGTGTGTGTGTGTGTGTGTGTGTGTGTATGTCGTGTGCATGCATGTGTGCGCCCCCTCCTGGGGGAAAGGGGAGAGAGAACTAACTACTTACCCATCCGGCCCTTGGAGTAGAGCCTTGCGTCGTAAGCCTGCAGGCGGTGCTTCCCGGAGGAGCACAGGGCCAGTGAGAGTCGGGAAAGCTTTTCCCTTTGAGGTTATGCTCACAACGCAGCAAGTTCATTTTGTAGCGTTGTCTCTACTGGCCACTGCTTTTGGTCCCTGTGAAATAATTTGCCTTCCGGCTGGGTTGCAGTCTCTAGTTTGGTCTTTTGGATTTAAAGGCAGACTTGCATTTAAAGCCTGGCTCGTGCACTTTTAATTTGGGAGTACTTCTTGGAGTCTGCACGTTGACGCCTCTAACACGAATACTCTGCAATCAGAAGACCGCACACCCGAAAGCCCCGGCACCAGGAGGAGCTTGGGAAACGGCGGCTTTCTGTCGGCCTGTTGCTTCCCCTCCTGGGAGAGGCACTGGCTTCTAAGGTGCCCTGTGGTTGGGAGGGTTCTTTGCTAAGCTCAGGACGGCTCTAGAAAGGTACGTGTGAGACCATGTACCATGAGGTACCATGAGGACCAAGGGCGCAGGAGACCTGGTGTGAACCCCATGCGGCCCCTGGCCACCTATGACTTTGGGCCTTGCCTTTGCCCTCTCAGCCTCCGTTCTTCTTCTGCACTTGAGAGGCCAGGGCTAGATTGTGTGATTCTGCTCTCCTGCACCTCGGGGGCCTGCCTGGATCTCCGCGTGTGCAAAAGATTGTGCTTTGGGCTTTGAGTAAAATTGCTCTGGTTCACTTTCAAATAGCATTTCTCTTGGGAACATAGACTCCTGATTGTAACCAGGCTTATTTCTGGCCATTGCTCTCGTTTTCTCCCTTTTCCAAGCGACCGTCCCTTCGTGCCTGAAAATGGGCTAGGGCTGGGGGAGGGAATGCGGTGGCAGCTGCAGAATCCTGTGGCGCGAGGCTGTGACCCAGCTGGGGTAGTATGAGCAGGACCGGGTAAGGGACCGCGAACCTTAAAGACCAAGCTGCCAGGCATTTCCGGGCTGAGACCTCTGAGGTCCTAAGAGAAACGATTCAGCGCTCCGTGGGCCGGCTGCCTGCTTCCGGCCGAGGCTCAGAAACTATGGATAGTAGAAGGGACTTTGGGTTTGAGGTGTCGCTGTGTTACGCAGAGCCAGCAGGGTGACCGGGGACAGGTCCGCGGCTCCCTTCCCCCGCCGGTGTGCTCCCTGTGGACTCGGGACAGTGTCGTCCCAGGAAGGTGGAGGCCCGGCAAGGTCAGGAGCGCACGCCTTGCTTCCTCTTCCAGGTGGCCACGAAGCGGGCACAGGCCTGGTGCTACAGCAAAAACAACATCCCCTACTTTGAGACCAGTGCCAAGGAGGCCATCAACGTGGAGCAGGCCTTCCAGACGATCGCCCGGAACGCGCTCAAACAGGTGGGTGTCCTGCGGCCCTCCGGCTCCCCCTGCTGACCCCCCCCCACCCCCCCCCCCGCCGGCTTCCTGTCCGTGATCTTCCCTCGCCCTGTTTTCTGTGTAGCCAGAACCCCCGTGTGTTTATCTGAGAAGGTAGTGAGGCGTTCTGCTAAAGCTTCCGGAAAGCCCGCTTGTGTGTGGCTGAGCCGCGCAGGACAGGGCCGGGAAGACGGGCTAAGGCGCCCCCGCCCGGGAACCGCTGCTTCTCCCGCGTGCTGGTAGCGCTCAGACCACTCGCAGGCCCTGGGCCACACCGCTCCGTCCACTGGGGGAGAGCGTGGCCTGGGATTTATATCCCCATCATTAGACAGACAGAGAGTGAGTGAGTGTGTGTGTGTGTATGTGTGACAGAGAGAGAGAGAGAGAGAGAGAATGAGTGTGTGAGAGTGAGTGTGTGTGTGAGAGAGTTGAGTGTGTGTGAGTGTGAGTGTGTGTGTGTGTGTGAGCGAGCGCGCGCGCATCTCTGAGCTTCCATCCCCTCGTGTGTAGAAAGAGAACGCTTGCTTTGCAGGATGGTTAAGACGAAACAAGATGCGTTTGCTCTTGTCATCCTCATAAATGGCTGTATTTGGTCACCGGAAGGAGCGCTTCCCCAGAACCTCTAGGAGTCGCGTTCCTTGAACGCGGGTTCTGCCTTACGGTTGTTTACCCGGCTGCTCCCAGGAGGCACGGTCGCTCCTTGCTGCCGGCGTGCCGGAGCCCAAGGCGCTTTTGGTGCAGCCCCTGTGTTGGGGCCGGTGAGCCAAGGGACAGCATGAGGCATCGTCATCTGTGACTGTCGGGTTTGGGAGCCGGGGGCGGGGGGGGGGGGGGGGGGGGG